AGAGCTATCTTAGGTCAAAAATATCAGTACTTGGTGTATGGGAAGGTTTTGACCCAGTCAAGGAAAACGTCAAGTCGAAGAAAGATGAATAAGGGGCCAAAAAACACTAAGTTTTGGAAAATGCTCGACGAAGACTATGCTAAGGAAAGCAAGGAGACGGTTTCACCAAATTGGATGGAATTGCAAAATATTCAAAATTCAAATCAAGTAGAAAAGAACGTGTGAGCGGTTAGAAGAACAAAGAAGTGCCAAAAGAGTATGCTAGGAAGTCTCAACCGCGATGTAGTAGTTATTCTATAGCACTATAAATAGGTGTAAATTTTATGTAATAAGGGTGTTCATTCATTATTGTACTAGTTCATACAACTCAAAGTATCTGCGTATAGAGAAACGAGTTAACGAGAATGTACGTGATACAAAACCAAACCCTTTCTTATCAATGCAATTTGTCTTTACAATTCACTTGCCATTTTTAACTTTCAGTTTTTACATTCAAGACTGCCCTTTACACTTTTCTGCCCATTTACTTTGCAAAGACCCCCTAGTCGAACGTGGAGTTCTGATTAGAGTTATTTTCCAAGCAATTTACTTACTCACATATTTATTCTCAAAAGTCATTTAAGTTTTCAAAGGAAGTACGTCGAACGTGGAGTTTGATAGTAGTCTTTTTTCGCCTTTACATTCCAGTTATTAATTTAAAGCCATTTACTTTCAACTTTACTTTTAAAAGCCATTTACTTTCCCTGCACCTTTAATCCTTCGCCCAATTATTTTCAAAGTCCTTTATCTTCTCGCTCTTTAACCTTTAAAGACTTCAAAGTCGAACGTGGAGTTCCCGTTTGAGTCTTTCGCACGTTTAATTTCAAAGTAATTTACTTTACAGCCTTTTACTTAAAGATCCCCTAGTCGAACGTGGAGTTCAGATTAGAGTTATTTTCAAAGCAATTTACTTTCTTGCATATTTATCTTTGAGCACCTTTTACTTTACAAAGAGATTGTAGTCGAACGTGGAGTTTAGCTTAGGGTCACTTGGCACACGCTTAACATATGTTCTAGGATTTAGTATGGTCGATCATGCAAGTTAGTCAATTTACCCTAAAATTGATAGACCAACGGTTGTTACCAAAATTCACATTAAACAGGGTCCTAAGGCTAGGATGGGCTGAGGGTCAAGGCATTGACACGACGGTCAAACAGGGTGTAACTTTTCCTTCAGAAGGGAATAAACGGAAAATGAATAATAACAATGATATAATTGATAAGCGTGGATCATAACTAATGAAAGTAATGTGATGTGAAACATATGAGTTAGCGAAATACGAGTGATGAGATAGCAATGTAATTATATGAACGTGATTAGAGATTAAGATGCACAATCAGGAGGTTAAGTTTTAATGGTGAAATTGCTTTTGAGAAAAATACTATTAAGTGCCAAAGAGGACAAATGTTAGAATTTAAATATTTTTATGATTTTTGTGAGTTTTTATGTAATGAAAGAGAATTAAAATTTTAAATTAAATAAAGTGTTAGAAATTAAGATTAGTGGTTACTAAAAAATTTATTTATTTTTATAATGAAAGCCAAATTCTAAAAGTTTTAATTAAAGAGTTAAATGAATTAGAGATTAAAAAAGTTTTTTATTTATTTTTAATATATATATATATATATATATATATATATATATATATATATATATATATATATATATATATATATATATATATATATATATATATATATATATATATATATATATATATATATATATATATATATATATATATATATATATATATATATATATATATATATATATATATATATATATATATATATATATATATATATATATATATATATATATATATATATATATATATATATATATATATATATATATATATATATATATATATATATATATATATATATATATATATATATATATATATATATATATATATATATATATATATATGGATTTTAATTATTAAGAACAAGACATTGAAATATTAAGCTAATCATTTTTTATATTTTTATTTGTTATAAGAGAAACTTGAATTAAATCAATCAAATTTTTTTTTTTAATATTTTAGATAAAAACGTTTTTAATTATTAAATAAAATATATTATTATTGTTTTAGATTTTTGGTTAGTAATTAGTAAGTTAGATGTTACTTTATTATTATTAATAAAATAGTTACAAAATAAATAAATAAATAAAAAAATAAAGAAAAGATAAAATAAATAAAACAAAAAAAGAGAAATGTGTCGGGCTGGGTGGTCAGGCACCAGACCCGACCCGGCTGGCCATATAAAAGGGGGAAGGGTCCACAAAAATTAGGGTTTTAAACCCTCATTTCGTTGGTAGCCGCGGCGCACCCTCAGGAGGGTTTTGCTGCGTTTTACTCTTCTTCTCGTCCTTTCTCCCACACGAATGTCTCTTCCTCTCTTCCATTCTCATGACTCTTTCATTCTTCTTCTTTTATGCATGCATTCAAACGGTTAAAAACATATATATATATATATATATATATATATATATATATATATATATATATATATATATATATATATATATATATATATATATATATATATATATATATATATATATATATATATATATATATATATATATATATATATATATATATATATATATATATATATATATATATATATATATATATATATATATATATATATATATATATATATATATATACCTCACGATGGAGGTGGTTGTGAAGGTTTGGTCGGATTCGTTGCGATGACGGTTTGATTTTGATGTTTGGTGGAATTTGGCCAATGATGTTGAAGAACTAAGACTCTGTGACTTTCGGTTTTCGTCGAGATTCTCAAAGGGGATCTCCGGATTTCGTTGAGGTTCGGCCAGATTTGTGATTTTGGACGGATTTGTGATTTTAGACGAATTTCTATGATGGTTTTCGTCTGTTTTGCGATGATTTTTTCGGATAATGGTAGGATGATTTCACTGGTTTTTTCGGAAGTGTTTTCATTTTTTCGGATCCCCTTTTCGTTCCAACTTCTGTTCTTCTTATAGTATTTTCTTTCAAAATGTGTTTTGATTATTTAAACAAAGTTTCCTTTTCGAAGGAAACATGTCTTAACATGTTCCTGATCTTTTCCACATTCGGATTTCTTGATGGTGATGTTATTATCTTCTTCTTTTGTACAGATCTGTTGTGATGCTGCTGTTGCGGATTTATTATTGATGATGGTGATGTCTGTTTCCATTTTCAGACTTGTGGCTTTGATGGTGATCCGTGTGATTTCACTGTCATGTTGGATTTTGATGATTTTTCTTATTTTCAAATCTGGATCTGCCATGATTATTATTTTTTGGATGATGGTATTGTTTTGATGTCTTCATTGAGTTTGATGGTAATATCTGCGGATGCTATTGGACTTATTGGATTTTCGAATTTTGTGTTTAATGTGGGCTGTTGGACTTGTTGGATTTTGATAATAATAATCCATTTTGTGTTTAATGTGGGCTGTTGGACTTGTTGGATTTTCGAATTTTGTCCCTTGCTGGATTTTCGGATTCTCTTAAGGCTCGTTTGGACAAAAAAATAATTTCTAAAAAAACTCTTTTCTCTTTCTCAGACCAGAATAGAAACTGCCTTGTTCTTGGAACGCAAGCTGGAGGCGACTCTTTTTCGTTGCCCTTGCGGACCGAGACGGAACCCGGTGATAATATCATACTCTGAGGGTTTCAAAAATAATTTTAAAAAATCACTTCCGATTAAAAACAAATCCAATTTCTAACCATCTGTTTTTTACTTGTAGGTTGCTCTTCGAATATGGCAATATGGGACTTGAAGACGTAGTTTGAAGACCATAGTCTTAGGACCTTTAGAAATTTTAGGACTTGTAACTTGTAATGAAATATAACTTTGTAGCTCTGTAGTAGAAATTAAATTCGAAAATGTATAAAACTTGATTCTTGAATCAAAATACGAATTTTAAATCCTTCGCATATCCTGTGAATATGATTATTCAGACTTTACTTTCGACCCCAATCTTATTACGAACAACTTTGAATTTTGTAATTTGAATTCGAATCATTTGAGATTGATATCCACTATAAATCCGATGCGAACCGTGAGTTCCACTGCCTCTGAAATTCAACTCGTACCCAGCATAGAAAGAAAATGAATACGTGCTCGAACTTGTTTAGATAACTTATTTGAAATAATTCTCGCACCGATTCAAATCCTAATCCGTTCACATTTTAACGCCCTAAAATCAATACGGTTCATAATTCGATAAAAATTCCAGCCTTTTGTCTGACGATTAATAATCTAATTCTCAAATTTGGGGGACCCTCCGATAATGATCGGGCTTTGTAACCGTCAGGTAACCGTAATTTGGTAGCACATCCGCATTCACACGAAAGGATGGACCAAAATGCAATGCAAAAATGATCACTAATCTAAGGGTAAAATTTGGGGTATGACATACATACGATTGACCAAACCGCTCGCCTATAACCAAGCATCGCCGACAAGGTACAGAGTCTCTCACCTCATGTGAGTATGTCCTTTAAACTATCTCAAAACACCAGTACCATATAAGACTTCTTGCTGCAGTGAGCAAACTCTCACCACTAAAATGTGTTACACATCTACTAATGCCTCATAGTCTACCTGCCCTTACAGCGGGGACACACATGTTATTTTTTACTAGTACATGTCTCAAGTTTAGTTAATAATGCAACACATTTTTTACTAGTACATGTCTCAAGTTTAGTCAATAATGCAACACATGAAGGTGTTGTTTACACCTAAAAAATAATCAAAGGATCAATTAAAACATACTATTTGAACATATTTTATTTTCCAAACATATACAACACATGGAATAATTGTTAAAAAAAAAAAAAGCACACATGAAATATTATTATAGTAGTATAACAAACAAGTAGCACCAGCACATACAACTTGACTTTCATATAATAACAGTAACACTAATCACTTAAAGAATTCCATAACCCAAAAGTTACGAACACAGCATTCATATCTAATGCCACTAAATCCAACTCTTGTTGCCAAACCTTCAAATTCTTGCTTAGTTCGTTCTTTTCCACCTGGATTTTGAGTCATCATCAAAACATCCAATTGAGAGGTATACCTCGAAGCATATCCATTTTCAGGTATTATAGGAAGAAGTGCCTCCAAAACAATCACCTTTCCATCATCAGGAATAGCATCATAACAATTCTTCAAAAGCTTCAAGCAATGCTCATCACTCCAATCATGAAGTATCCACTATAAAATTTATATACAAATTGATCCCATTTGAAAACAAAAATAAAATTAACATTATATTCTGATTATGAAAGCAACTAAGTATTCACTAACCTTCATAAAAATGGCATCTCCTTCAGGCACACTTTTGAACATATCTCCACCAACATGTTCAACTCCTATCAAGATGAACATGAACAAAAATTTTCAATAAGAGTTTTTTTTATCAACTCGTATATTCTCGTAAACTATAATAAACATGTAAAGAATCATACCCAGATAAGAAGGGGCGTGTTGTATGACATGAGGCAAGTCGAAATTGATACCCTTAATACAAGGATATTTGGAAGTGACTAAGTTAATGTTGACACCTAGACCACCTCCAACATCCACAAGCCTTTTAACATTATCAAAACCTTTGTAGCATTCAAGAACCTTGTTCATAACTAATTTGGTATGATTGATCATAGCGGTATTGAAAACCTGGTTGAACCTCGAGTCCAAACTTGGATATTCAAAGGCATGTGTGCCATAAACTCTGTCAAATGGAACACCTCCTTCTCGAATTGCATTCTTAAGCTCGGGCCTAAGAATGAATAAACGTTTCTGTAACTAATTAGTTTTCTTACAAATTAAATGAAGAAACTAAAGTAAAAGGTTGAAGAACTTACCAACTAGCTAAGAAGACTTTATCTACAATTAAACTCAGTAACGGTCCCAATGAAACACCGTCAGAATCACGAGCGAAGAATCTAGCAACGGGAGCCATAGTATAAAGTCTGCGAAACGATCCAAGCTTTTGTTCATCTTGAAGAACCAAACACTTCAATATAGAATGAGATGCAAGAAGAGCAAGGATCCGATCCAACATTTTTGGAGCATCGGGATTGATGCATGAGAGACGAGATGCGATCTCGTCGGCAGAGAGTTGAGCATCGTGACCAGCTTTTAGCAACACATCAAAAACACCAAGCTCGGTTGCAGATTGAAGTGCCATTGGAAGAACAATAGAGGTGCTAAGATGTATAGCATATGAGAAACTTTCTTCATCTTGTAACTCTTGTTCTGCTTCTGATTTTCTCTCGTCAGGACTCTTGCCCAATTCTATCACATTAGAAAGGTTTGACATCTTTGAGCCTGAGAAACAAACTACCTACGAAAACTGATTTAATCATGTTACACTTACACCGTAGAAAATACAGCATGTGCAAGAGTTAGTGGGTGTGAGGAAAAATAATAAAATAATTATTAAATATTATTAGAAAAAATAAAACCGTATACAACTAGGGTGTAATGTCATCCTAAATGTAAAAATATCATTTCTCTTTCTCTTTAATAATGTTCCGTACTTTCCCTTTGCATTGGGTGATGGGGACTTGCAATAAGTTCCAAACCCCACTATGTTTTAAAAAGATAGCATTGGTTTTGTCATTTCATCCCCACTAAGTTTTACTCATTTTTTATTCAATGTTTTCATTTGAATTTTTATTAATAGTTTATCCAAAAATTACTAAAACTTAGTCATATAAGTAAATTTACCTAGTGATATCTATAAATTAATTTTTATTTCACTTATAAATTTATTCATGTGATTAATAAAAAATTATTTTTAATAAGATGGTGCGAATATATTACACATATTACAAATTATATTTTTTTAATTAGTTGATTTAGCAAATTTTCTGGTTTTTAGCATTGTTTGTTAGTTGATTTAGTCAAGTTGTAACTCAAGTTTGTTTTCTTAATTTTAGTTAGAACGTGGGTGGTAGTTTGTTACGACGTGTCTGCTTTATTTATTTGTTTGTTGCACTTTTACAAGAAATAAACAAGTTATTTTTAGAAATGTTATTTGCCTTCTCTTGAGTTTTTGTTGCATCTAGCAATCTGGTATCACGAGCACCGATTTGAAAGATGGATTCAGAAGCATATTTAGTAGCAGTTGTAACACCATAAAACTCAACAGCTTTATTTATGAGAATAAAACATATAATTTTTCTCAACATTGGTGATACGCGTTCTCAACATGCATCTTTTTTAAAACTGTAATATAAATTAACAGCAAAACTCAAAATTTTGAAACCGTTTATTTGTCTCAAACACAAAATACTTCATAAAATAAACCAAAACTCTCAGAGCACAAACATAACAAAATAACTTATTTCAATGTTACATGTCAGAGCTACAACTAAAACAACTCGAAAAAAGTAAAATAATGAAGAGGGCATTTACGTCATCCTTCAGCTCAACGGTAGCTAGTGCTTCTCTACCTATGTATTTGTAGCACAAGTGTACAGAACACCACAAACAAAATAACCAGGGGTGAGAATACATTCATTAATGCTAACGGTGCATAAAACATCAAATGATAGCATAATTCATAACAATCATCAATCATATGAATCATTCACAACAATTATTCAATCGCAATGCATATATGTATGCAAAGCATCAACTCTTATAATTCAATGCATGTGGTGTCAAATTTGGTCATCAGAGTTATGTTACTTATTCATCCACTCACCAAAAGTTCCTCTCTGAACTCAGACTCGTCACTGGTACCCTCTTCTAAACCATTAACTCGTCCTAGAACTGAAGTCCGTACTCCTATCTTTAATATACATGATGTATGAAATGAAACAAAATAAATATCAATGCACAAATCATCATCAGTCCTTCTCTAAACCCACACCATCTCCAATATAAGGTCATCATCGTAGTTCATCTCTGAACAACACATCTCAACATAACTCAACATAATATATAATTATAACAAAACATTATTACTCAACAACGCTCACTAACAATGTAAGAAAATAACATTACACAATCATCAACATTCAACAGTGTTGGCTCATAACTCAATAGAGCTCACTAATGACTCTTCACTTTTTATTCAGGAATTAAGAGTCGCAAGGCACACTCTAACCTCAACTCAACTGCTCATCAACTCGACTATGAATCAAATTAGACGACTCAATAATTCACTCATCTTATAAAAACCACAAGGAAACATTACATTCAGGTTCTCCTATACATATTTAACCTCGCAAGACCTTATCATATGGTAGTCTTACGCGTTAGCTTCCCAACGCTTTAAATCGCACCTCAAGTAGAGTCATGAAACTTAAGTTATGACGAAAACAATATATGAATAAAATCCGCCTTGTATGATTTGAATCATGTTATTTTCCTTATTTGAATCAAACCAGCCATAATCATTTTCTTTCTAAAATTTGGTCTCTAATTCGAATCAAGTTAAAATTCTGATTCAAATCAAAATTGGCTACAATGTTTTTCTGCTGAATTTTGAATCGTGATTAGAATCATGTTAAAATTTTGATTCGAATCAAACCACGTTGCAACATTTTTCTACTGAATTTTGATTCGTGGTTCGAATCATGTTGAAAATATAATTTGAATCAAACCAGTCTGCAACGTTTTTTTTGCTTTTGTTTCACGGGAATTTCACTCCTAAGCGCAATTTCTCCAACCTAGACCTACCCCAATTTAGTTTTGAACATGAGTAATCACACCAACTCATATAACATTCATCACATCAATTACCACCCAAATTTGGCATATTAACATTGATTTATCACCAAATCATCATTATGTTCATCATCTCAAAACCCTTAACATGAACAACACCACTCAAAACTTTCACATATCAATTTCACACAAAATTCAGTAATTAATACAATATAACATCAACATTACAACACAATGATCTAGAGAGGTTTGTACACCCTCTCAAGGTCCAAAACCTCATTAATGAAGGAAATAAAAATGAACAAAGAAGAGGGTAAGGATCTCTCTCTATCTTTTATGCAAAATACACTCATAGATGAATAGTCCCCCCTTGCGTCGAATTCGCAGAAAAAAGGTTGCAACTTGGCTATGGAGTTTTCTTCTAGCTAGGATTGTCTCTTCCCCTCACTACTAAAAATAATACATTTCATGATGAAGTTTTCATCTCAGCTATTAAAAAACTGAGGTTAAATGACCAGGAACACGCCATTCATTATTATTTTTTTAAAATTAATCTTTTACCTCAGTTTTTTCCAAATCTGAAAAAACAAGTTACTCAGGGTTTGAGCTTCGATTCCCAATGCTTGCAATTTTAGGTTTTATTTAGAGCTAAAAAGACACCTTTAGAGATAAAAACTCTCTAAACAATATTTTATTCCTTCAGATTTAATGTTAAGTCTCATTTACTTTTTACGCCCTAGCTAGCGAACGGAAATGAAATACTTTTCTTCTACAACGAAAAAAACTAAAACACCATTCTTCTACAAGGATGAAGGAAGCTTGAACCTCAAATCATACTTTTCTTTGAGTCTCTCATCATATTTCTAGTAGGTACAAATTCTCTATTACTGTTGTTGTTGTTATTGTTGTTGTTTTCGTTGTTGTTGTTGTTGTTGTTGATGATGTTGTTGTTGATGTTGTTGTCGTCGTTGTTGGTTTTGGTATTATAGCCTTCGTTGATGTTGTTGACGTCATTGTTCTTGTTATTATGGTTTTTGAGACTTATACAACTCATTTTTGTTGGTTGTGTACTATTTTTATTTTGTTTTCAGAAGTTGTATATGATTATGGATCGTATTTCGATGAAAGCCAATAGATTAAGTAAAGAGTATGGGAATGTAGTGATTTACTTTCTTGAATTTGCGGGAAAAAACTTCCTAACGATAAGGGTTTTTTTTGGTGTCTTGTAAAATTTGCCGAAATATGCAAAAAAAACATCCAAGGAATGATATATTCAATCATTTAGGTTGTTATGGAATTATTCAAAATTACACAAAATGGATACGGCATGGTGAAATGATAAAAAAAAAAGACCTTTGTCACATACAGTTGAAGATAATGATGAAATTATGAATGATACTCTAGAAGACATGATTCGTGATATTGGAGTAGATGCTTTTAAAAAAGCTAAATGGTAGATACTTTGCAAGGAGACATGAAGAGTCATTGTATTTGGGATTAAAAAGTTTTAAAAGATTGTCAGTTGTGTTAATACTATTAAATCTTAAGGCAATATGTGGGTGTTTCCCGTGCAAATTGGAAAACAACCGCTGATCTTCTAAATCTAACTTGGTGACTGACAGGATCGACCCGACTGATCCTAGGACATGTGCTAAATTTTATGTGAAATAAATTATCTAAACTACACACTTCGATAGTTTTTTTAGGGAAAGGTTTAATATAACTGCATGGCTCGACTAAAACAAAAGGATGTAACTTTGTAGAAAACAAAGTAAAGAACTTTTAAAAGTATTTAACTAAGTAAAGAAAAATGCGGGGAAGATATAAATTGTAAGAAAAGAAATATAAACTAAGTAAAATAAGTTTCATTGAAAGTAAAGATGGTGTGTTTACATGACGTACATTCTCCTAGAACTCGTTTCTCTACACTCGGATACTTTGAGTGACTTCGAGACTGACTTGTACAAATAGTAAATTACAACACACTTAATTCTATGGCTAGAACTCTTATTTATAATAGTAAAACAAACTACCGTTAACCTCTTAGAATCACCAGCCTTTGACAAGTGTCACATTGCAAGTAGTCACTTGCTAAATGAGCGTCACTTGTCTTGATTAGTCATGAAAAAGCATAACCACTCCCTCCCTTTTTTTTTGAATTTCAAAACTCTACTAATGCTCAGCCAACAGCCTCGATCGAAGGTAGTATCTTCAATATTTGGAAATTTTCTCTAAGTCCCAAATGTTCAAATAACCTAGCCTACTCAAAGGCCTCCTCATTCGAAATATTTTACATTTCTTCAAGAGTTAATATTTTATTCAAATATTTAATTTTAATATGAGCGTCGAATTTGTGAGCTAACAAATTGCCCCCCCCCCCCCCCCCCGAAAAAATGTCTTTTTTGACCATGCTGAGGAAAAAGAACCATTTTTTGACAGCATCTAATTCGACGCCATCTATCGACCTCCACATAGGTGTCAATGCAACTGACTACCCATGACTTGAAAGAAAAACTGTTCAGTTATCTTCACGCATGTTCATGACGTCATGGGTCATTATGAGAAATTTCTTGGGAATCTCATAAAATCTCAGACCATCATCATTCTTTTTAGGACATATGAATTCGTGGGTCTAGGAAA